ATTTCTCTTGTGAAGTTTTGGCCTTCAGCCAGAATTTTTTTTTATTATTATTATTTTCTATGTGATCTTTATTTTTCTTTCCCCAAGCAGCAGCTAACACGGATCAAAAGAGCAATTGCTTTAGGATGCAATCATAAAAATAATAAAAATAATAAACATGAGAACTGACGCAGCACTACGCACCTTAGATTAAGCCTTGCGTGCCTGTTGTGGGTGTCCTTGTCTTTTGGGAAGGCTGAAGCTCCAGCCTTTTTCAGTTTCCATTGATTGTCTCTGTCTCTGGATTGAGAAAGAAAACCTTGGAGTGGTGTTTGGGCTCTGAAGGCTTTCTCTTAACCTCTCTGGTTTTGGGAGACGACACATGAGCATCTTTTTTTTTTTTTGGTACTCGTATATTGACCATCAGGCATCTCATCTCCTGAGTCTGTGACTAAACTGGGAACACAAAACAAATCAGAACAAAGTAAAAGAAACAAAGAAAAAAAAAATTGTTTGCACGTGTCTCTTTATTTACATTTACTGGTCATTTACTGCTTCTGGGCTTTTGCTTTATTGAGCTATTCACTCCTAGTGAGCTAAATGCCACTCACTTCCTCTATTCCACATGTGGATTTTGGGTTCCCAGGGCAGGCTGGGTGTTTTGCCCAAACCAGCTGCTGTAGTAGGTCAGTGGGATGATTCAGCTGTGCTCATTTCAGAACTGCCCCTTTCTATCACGAAGTAAACCGCAGATTAGCCAGAGGTGTTCCCCATGCCCCAGCTGTGTGAGATTTGCATCCTAAACTCTGGCTAGAAGAAAGTGGGATGAAGAATCTGCAGTTTCACACACCAGTATTTTCAGATCAGGATTACTCATGTTTACCCTGACTGAGCTGTAAAGGGACATCCAGCAGCATTCTGAATATATTCCCCAGCAGCAGTTGTGCATCTGTTTATTTCCAAACAACAGCTATCAAATTTAGCAGTGCACAGTGCTTTGGTGAGTGCCTGTTGTACAGTCCAGCTCTCCCCAAGGTTCTCTTATATTTCCTACCGTGCCTCTAGCTGTTTGCTCCTTGTTCTACCTGTCCCAGCTAACAGCAATAACTGATCCCTGTTCCCCTAATGCTTCTGCTTTCATTAGGGTTAGTTCTTTCTCTCCTATCTCCCCACACCAGGCTTGGACTCACATTAGACCAAGTGGAAGAGCAATCCATAAGTGCAGCTGAGACTGAATATCTGCCCTAAGCTTTTCCTAAGAACAAAGCAGATTTAGATGCAAATATTGGTAAAGTCCAAATCATCAACCAGACGTGCTCTAGAGGGCCATGGATGGTATAGGACAGGAGAAGAGAGCCCACACCACATCCTCCTCTTGCCATACCCAATGGCCCATGCTGTTGAGGGCTGTGCCTCTGGGCTGGGCACCCTGGCAGTGTGTGATGACAGAGCCAACGCCTGAGCAACCATTTTGGGTACTGCGTGGGGAGAAGACCCTCTCTGCTATTTATTCCACACACACATTTTAAGAGAAAGGCAGCTAGAATATCAGTAAGAACACTAGTAATTTGTTCTCTCCAAACAGAAAGCCTGCAGGATGCTCCAGCGCGTTTTCACCCTTAACTGCAAGGCACCTTACAGATTTTATAGTTGCAATATCCTGCACATTGAGCTCCATCTTCAGTATTTGCTTTTGAAATAATTTTTAAAAGTAATTCAGTTTGCCTCTTAATGATCCCCAGGACAGAATATGCAGCAGCAGCTGCAACTTGACCTTTTCTCAGGTCTTTCCAGAAAGAATCTTTCTGATGCTGCGGAATTTTATATACTAGAAAGTACAATGTTAGATCACATAAACTGGTAGGTGTCAGATTTAAGGTAGGTAACAGGTAAGCATGCAAGCATCAGCAAAAACTTCCCAGGAGAAACAAATGCAACTAAAGCAGAATTATTTGCAGTCTGTGACAGGACTGTAACAAATTAAGCCATACGTAACTGGGAACATTATTTTACTTTATGTTAGTTTTTATCTCTCCCAGCTCACAGACAGCATGCAGCATTAGGGATCTTGCTTACACACCTGAACAAAGCGTCAAGCTCTAGGATGCAGTCCCACATCAAGCGTCAGTGAAGCTGTGCAGCACAAAGCTGCTGACGAGTTAAGAATCAGTTCTTCTCTTAGCTATGTGCATGCCTGCTCTCAGCTCCCAGCAAGGGCTTTCCTGGTGCTTCTCAGCTGCAATATACACAGAGTTTATGGCAGGAGGAAGTAGCAAAACAGATTTAATCAGGTTATTACCGGGTTCAAAGGTCTATGATCACACTTCAGGAAAAAAAAATGGCCTGAATATATAGCTTGGTGGGATGACTTTCAGTATACACTGAAGAAAAAAATACAGAATGAACAAAGACTTTTTTTCTTCTCTATAGCATGATTAGAACCTTCTAAATTTCTTGAAATGAAGATCCATGTAAGAAAAACCCAAATATATACCCCAGTCATCTGAAAAACCAGTTCAGAGAAAGTTTTCCCCATTTTCCTCTGCTGCCATGCAAAGGAATGTAAATTTTAGCCAGCTATGCATTAACTTTAGTTACCTTGTATCTACAGGGTAGCCCCCTTTCTACTAAAACTATGGTCTGAAGCATTTATTTCCAAGAATCAGAATGGAGAGTTGTCTTGTTGGTTGAGTTTGAGAAAAGAGAAACAACCCAAGCAAAGGAAGCAAAGGAAAAAGCAGCAGAATTCTCACTATTATCCAGCTTCATTCTTTCAGAAGTCACTGCAGTTCAGAATCAGGTTATAAATTACCATGGTGTTACCTCCTTGGTAGCATTCCAGGTTCTAAAATCAGAATCCAAATCACAGTCATTCTGCAAAGAGATAATAGATACAGAAACAGATCGGCAGCTCTGATAGTGTGAACAACATACAGAATTATGATGCATTCAGCTTTGAGAAGCCATCACAAGACAGCGTCGTAATGTAGCAGGCAAGTTTAAGGGATACTGACATCTGCAGAGGGTTGAAACTTGGGAGTTTTTTCTGCACATTTAACTAACCTTCAGAAGGATCCCAGCAGATCCCTGTGACTTGCGAAGGGCTCACACTTTGTCATTTTGTCAGCTCTGTGTGCACCATCTACTGGCCAGACTGGGATGGCGCTTCTGAGAACAAAGCTCTATGTTAACTCAAATCATGCCAGCACAGCGAACTGCTCCTACCAGCGACGTCCTCGAGGGCTGCATCAAATTGTGAGGTTAGCACTGATCCTCAGCGTTTTAAAATCAACATTCCACTGATTACCAAAGGAAATATTATTATAGCTCAAGAAGAGTGGTTTTTTTGTTGTTACTGTTTGTGTTTGCTTTTTTTTGTTTTGTTTTGTGCTGAGGATTTTGAACATAGTTAACAAATGCGTGCAATTTAGCTTTTCAACAAAAAAGCCTGCTTACATATAAATGGTCTGTGGGAAATGTATGCCAAGATTTCATTACAGTGGGTTTATTATTACAAGAGACTGAGGATGCCTGTTTCTGCACTAAAGGAGGGGCAGCGTGATGGAAGAAAAACGTACGGGGATCTAAATTAAATTTGTGCAGCAGAGCTCAGGGAAGCAGAGCAGGTTAAGTCACACACAGTACAAAAAAGCATTTCGTCCCTACACTCCCTCTGGACCGAAGTGCACAGATCTGAAGCAGCCTCATGGTCTGTCACCCTGAGCCAGGCACAAGTGTGCACACATGCAAAGGCTAGGGAAGGAGGAGGGAGGAATGGAGAAGAGCTGTATAGCAGCCAGGAAGCAGTCTGGTGCAAGCTACCCCTCGCCCAACACTGTAACCTGGGGCAAAGCCTGGGAACTGCTGCTGGGAGACACTAAAGCTGGCAAAAGAAAAACTGCAGCCCAAAAAGTTATTATTCATGCTTTAATTTCCTAGCTGAAGTTATACAGTGAACCTCACTGCTGTTACTGTCACGGTCACTCATGAAAACGTAGCCACCAAGTACTCTGACCAGGAATGGGGTAGTGGATCTTGAATTAAGGAAAAACAAATGGAAGCTAAGGTAAAATCCACAGAATCATAGAACAGCCCAGGTGGAAGTGACCTTAAAGATTATCAGGTTCAACCTTTCACAGCAAAAGGAAGCCTGGATGAGATTGCCCAGCACCACGTCCAAGTGCTTCTTGAAACCCTACAGTGATATGAATTATCACATTCCCAAGGATATTATTCCAGTGAGTGATGGTTCTCACTGTAAGATTTTTCTTATATTTAGAACAAGGAATAGGAAGTAATCAGCAATAACATCCTTAAGTGAAGAACACCTATAATTAGAAAAGTTAAATGACAAAAGATATTTTAAAATAAACACTTACGACACTGTTTCCTCAAATCCGTTTCAGTGTATGAAGAAAACACTGCTTGAAGTACTATTCCCTTAATCCAAGATCACCTACATCACAGTCAGTTTTAACATTCTCTACTCTGATGTTAGGATTATTTATTATACAACTGTATAACTGACCTTCAGGTATATTAAAATGACTAAACATACTTCAAGAAGAATTGATAGAGTATCCATGTCAGGTTTAAAAAAAAAAAAGAAAAAAAAATACACCTTCATTAACAATGTCAAAATGTGACAGCATATGCATAGCTAGATAACAGCATAATAGCCTGATAAATGCACATCCTCTGAGACAAAATATTACATAATTTTGCAATCAAAACGCATTCTTCAAGTCACTCTGCTGCAAAAAGGCAAGATAGACACTTGTCAGTGAATGGGATGAATAGAAGATTGTTGCTTAGGCTCCTCCAGCTGAAATTTAAACAGGTGAAAGTCTCACAGGGAAGGGAGAGTTGGTCACTTTTTTTTTTTTTTTTTTTTTTTTTTTTTTGTTATATACTGATAAGATGCATCTGCAGTCTTTTAAACCACATTTCTGTATCCTGTAAGCCAGTATAGAACAATTCTAGGTACTAAATAATTAAGAAAAAAATAACCTTATACATAATTATGACATGAAAATACATTTATTTGGTCATATCTAAAGAATTGCTACGTGAAATCTAACTGGAAAGAAGTCATACATTCCCCTGTATGTGCACAAACATTGCATTTGGTCTTAGCTGCTTGCTGAATTTTCACAAACATATCTCCATTTTAGGGTTCCTGCACAGTTTTTAGAATGAGTCACCCCATAACAAACCAACCAACACGACAACATGCACAGCCCTTCATAGCAGCTTTTAGAGATGACTAATGGCACAGTTATTCAATACTCAGGTAACTCTTTGTGATCGGCAATTTGGCTTTCCTTTTTTTCCCACCTCACAATAGAAATAATTTAAAAGTCCTCCATGAAAGGTTTTGATATTTTCACAGAAGTAACTGGAAGACTGGGAGTGTGGGAATCCATAGAACCATCCACCGCCGAGAACCATGACCTGAATCTGTAGGTCTTGCACAGTCATTAGCCAGGAGAACAACTGACCAATGAAAGACGGTATTAGCACCATTAGCACCTTGATATCACCAGAGAAATGTGGCCCTTGAAGGTGGGCAACGTGGGATTACAGGAATTGGGTGAGGGAGGGCAGCACCCTTTGTCAACTGCAGATGTGGCTCTCCCTTGTATCATCCTTATGTGTGGAGAGCAGGGTCTCAGAAGAACATACATAAACACTGCTTGAAGTTGCACTGTAAGTGAACAGTAAAGCAGTTTATTATCCTAACTTTAACAAGATTCATATAATGTTTTCCTTCAAACAGATACTGCTCCAAAGCACCTTTGGAAGAGGCTGATGAGATTCAGTTTCTGAAATGACCGAGGTGAGAGATAACATTGTTTCTCTACAAGTGCACCAGAAGTATCTCTACTGAATATATTAACTTCAGGACGACAATATCCACATGCTACTGTATCTCAAGCCAAAGGTATTTCATAATGTAAACTAGCCATCATGGCAACACTGACACTCCCAATCAAAAGTAACCTCATCTCAGCAAACTTGGAAATCCACCTGCTAAGAATCCACCGAATGAAAAAGTACATTCTATGGATGGAATAGGCATTAGGAAGAACTACTCCATAAGCCTTGGAGTAGGTTTCAGAGCTCCTAAATTCAAGGACAAGTTTTAACACTGGTTTATGAGCAGCTCTTTTGGTATGAAAATAAAAGCCAAGAGGCCCAAACCTTCCCAAGGGAAGAAGCTGCATAGAAATGTTCTCTGCTTGGGGGCACAGACATGACTGCTCCATGTGAGCAGTCTGAGATTTGGGGTATCGGAACATTTTTAGTTTGCAGCTTTCCCCATAGAAGCCAATTTCCCCATGGCTCTGTGCATTCTCACCACGTTCTACTACAAAGCATAAGAGGTCCAAGTGCAGCAGCCCCTGCACGCTCCCCACTAGGGTGCAAGGACTCCTCCAGAAGCACATGCCCTGAGTCTCCTGAGAAGGGAGCACAGACCCTCTGCCACCAAGGAAGCCTGGGTCTGGTGCCTGTGAGAGCAGGTGCGACTGGTGCTCAGCTCCTCACTGCTCGCTTTGTAAACCTTATGGAACAAATTCACAAGAAGGGAAAGAACAGCGGCTGCTGCTTCGCTGCTCTTCCAGCACCATGTAGGCATTCTGACCACCAGCTAAGACGTGGAGCTGGTCTTGGACAGCAACTGGCTCACAAAAACAAAAACACTGTAGGACACGGAATTTAACACAGAATACATAACTGCTTGGTTCTCCCCACTGATTAATTGTCATCTTTCTCAAAATCAGAAATGAGAATACTTTCTTCCAGAGCAGGAACATCAGAATTAATCTGTGGAAAATAGGCGTTTCTGACCCACAGTATTCTGCTGAAGAATCTGTTGTTCTGTTTGTAGAGGCACCACAGAAAAATGGAAACAGCAGCCAGCATCACAAACGTTACGAGAACAGCCAGAGCAGCAAGTCCAGAGTAGGATGCTGAAAGGAAAAAGCAGAGACTGTTATTACACAAATGCAGTTATAACCACATATAATTTTAAGTACAAAAATTCAGATGTTCCACATAAAACACCATTACTCTTTATATGTCACACATTTTAAATTAAACTTTTTTTCCACTATTAAATGAGATCTCATGAAGTATCACCTCAAAACATGTTATTGCTCCTTACAAAAAGTAAAATAAAATAAAATAAAATTTAGAAAGTAAAAAAGAATAACTTACATTTTTCAGAGGGTTCTGCCGCATTAAGATCTGAAATAGAACCCAGAAACCCAGAACTGTCAGAAAATTATCCACAGTACTAACAAAATTTAGCATATACACTCAGTGTACCACTGATACTCAGAAGACAATCTATTCAGAAACATGCAAGAGCCAGCTGTTCTTTGTTGAACTTTACCCATGTTAATAGGATTACAATAGGCCAAGTGAAATATGACCTAGCCTACTGCCTGTATAAAATCACTTAAATTTAGTGGAATATATTAACAGGCATTGTGGCATAGATGAGCAGCAGCATTTATCCACTGCAGAAAGCACATATACGTAAGCAGAAGTGTGCAGCGGTGGATGAACCAAGCTATTGGGTCCAGCAGTGATTCTGGCACTTTGAGTGGACTCGGAACACTTCAGCTCCCTCACGTACATATCTCTTCTTACTGCTCATTACAGCTGCCTATACCAAGGGCTCTGCTCACATGCACAAGAGAAAGTTTGTCACAGCATGCAGTAACAAAAGAAATGCCCAGGCTCCTCAGAAGGCTAACCTCACCGGTTTGTTTTTCATGGGTATTTTCTCTAATAGGAAACAAAAAGACTATTTAAATGAAAACTAAGCGAGCAATAAAGAAAATATAAAACAACAGTTGTAAGAACATGATCAGTTCCTTCAATGGAAGCACGTACCTGCATTCTTTTTACAAACAAATCCCTTTATTTCTCTGCATGGAGATATTTGCCATACACCATCCGCAGTCCTCAGGCTGATACAGAAATTCCCCTTAAGATGATCAAATTCAGGCTCCCTGATGCCCCAGTTAGAATAATTTAAGGGAGAGCCATCAGACCAGGAAACCGTTTCATCTAAGGGCAGAAGTAATAAATCATTGTAAAATGCCATTGTGTTTTGATAAACAACTTCTTCAGTTGAACTCACCTTCACATGCATGTTCACAATACTGTACAAAAGCAATGCCAGGCTACTACCCTGTTTGACTACTATGTTCCTTTCTTTGTTGAATACTTTAAAAACATAATGCAGTTGACACAATCCATACAGCTTCTTCAACATGCCAGTAAAGGCACTCACATACATGCACATATACTGACTATTCAGAATCCTAGTACAATCACATCCTTTTAGTACATTGTAAGCAAATAGTAAACAGTGAGAACAAGAATCTCAAAAAGTAACAGTATTTTGTAAGATGGTTATATCAGCATTAAAAAAAAAAAATCCTAGATTCTTACGTTCAGTTCTCTTCCACATAAAACTTACTGTCTGTAACATGCAGGACGTTCAGCCAAACCATTTTCACAGAATAACCAAAACTGTGCAACTCCTCCAGAACGAAGGCATTTTCATCTTCATCTTTGATAGTTAGAAGATTAGATCCTACAGATTAAACATAGAACAGACTTCTTTTTCAAGCAATTCACGCTATTAAAATGTAGCATTGCATTTCAAAATTTGGTATGGAGAATCTTGTTTGAAAATGTTGAAAAGCCTGCTTATGCTTTATTAGTTCTGAAGTTTGCAACTAATAATACAAAACTGTTCTTACTTGATTTCAAAACAAGTTTGAAAGGGGATAAATACATTTTATATCTTACACCAGAAAACAGCATTTTCATCAAAAAAGACCATTTATTGATATACATTGCCTTTGATTTCATAGTTGGCTTAATGGGCTCCAGTAGTGTTTTCCTGAACCAGAGGAAACACTTGCTGTGACTTCAGTCATTTCAGAAAATCTGTGGTTTTTTTTTTTTTTTTCTAACTATATCACAATTACATTTTGTAGCTATAAAATAGTCACTTACCTTGATTTCTGCACACTTCATATGCAGCATCAAAACTTGTGCCCTGCAGAACGGTGTTAAAGCTGTAGCAACTGTTTTTGAATTTGATCCAGGGAACATGTTTTTCTGAACATAAGCCTTTATACTCAATGAGTTTCTTCTCTGTCATAGAAGAAACAGCAAAGTTTTATTGGCACAACAACATACACATTAATATAACATTCCACATGTTGTTTTGGAATAATGCTAATAAGCACTCTATTTAATTTATGTCTCTATTTTTCAAAGAGAAAATCTAGTGGCTGCATATACTTGTACTAGAACTGCAAAGCTGGTTTTAGTTCAGATGAAAAACCTTGCAGGCTTGCAACAGTGCTATAAAGATATTTATCTAACAGTGACACACAACAGGGAGAGAAGCATCATATGGGCACTCAGGGCTACCCAGCAACTCCCAGAGGCTGGGGATTTCCAGAGGCTGCAGAGCTTCTCTCCACAAAGCCACAAGGATAACTGAATGCCAAATATCAGGGCACAGAGGCAGAGTAGAGCTTCCCATCAGAATTCAGCACTCGACCTCTCCACTGTGCAATGCACTGTGCCAAGAGCCCTACTGATTTGGGTGACTGCCATCATGAAAGCAGGATGTTGACAAGGACTCTGCAGTCCTGGGCTGAGTAGAGCTGTATACCTGAGTTCTGTGTTCCAAAAAAAAGAAAAAAAAAAAAAGCTCAGGTAATGAAGAGCTTTGCAAGAAACAAAATGTATCTCAAGATGCAGGAAAATATTCTCATCTTCAGAAAAAATGTTGCAGTCTTCCCTATGCAATCAATGAAGTTGTGACTAACTTTTCACTTTGTTCCAAAAGATTCACTTTTCCTATTTCTCAGTTAACTGCAATAAACAGAATTTACTTCCCTTCACACTACTTTGTTAATAATCAGCATTTTTCGCAGACAATATAGCATTCACTGAAGAGGGAGTTTCCTTGCACCTGTTTCTTTCCCACTATAGAAGTTCTTCCCATTTTCACATAGCCTAGATCTGGTGGCCAATACTTAATGGGGAAAAAATAAAAAGGCTTCGCAAATAGGAGATACAGAAAGGGGGGGGGGGGGGGGGGAAAAAACACTTTTGAAGGAAGCATCATCATTGTTTAACCTCAAATGTTAGTTTTCCTTTCATATACTGCCACTATTACTACACACATTTGCAGCTGCACAGATGTAAAACAAAACCTAACTGACTTACTGGGCGGCACATGGCAGACTGCTCCTGGCAGAAGTTGTTCACAGCTTGTACTCTTCCAGTGCCCTGAGGCATCCATATAAACACAGCTGCCCAAGGCCTGGGACTCATCATCTTCCCAGAAGGTAAACAAGGATCTAGTCCCATCTGACCACTCAAAATTAAGCCCATTCTGCCAAAACAAATTTTAAATTATTTCTGTTTGGTGCCATACTCCTTTCCACAGACATCTTAATCAGGATTCCTTTTACTTCTTCCTTAGTGCTGGGCAGTTTCAAAGATCCTCTCAACTTTTTTCTAGGAGAACAAAAACTACACCTAAACTGCTGTTTTGTATGGTAGCTGAATGTCTGGGTCATTGAGTGTAAGTGACTATTTGGTCCATAAAGCTGCTCAAAATGAAATTTAAATTCAATACTGACATTAGAAGAGTTTTTTTTTCTTAGTGTTTTTTGTTGTTGTTGTTTTTGTGTTTTAGTATTTTCTATGGCTTTCATTTTCCAGTACTGCACCAAAGTAGCACTCATTAAATTTATGTATCATGCTGCAAAATACAGCAAGGAGGCTGATAAAAGCTCAAGTGGGTGTTTAATTTCTAAACATGAACTTCCTGTGACTTCTAATTAATGACAGAGCTCATAGTTTGCTACTGTAAAAGCCTAATTTAGAATAAGGGATGCACTGACAGTAAACCCATTACGCACATCTGCGGTGAAAAGCCCGATCCAGTGGTTGTATCCCAGCCGATTCACAATGATTGTGAGGAAAGCCTGGTGGTACTGATCTGCAATGCTGACCAGCTCAGCTCCATTTGCCATGCAGGTTTTTAAAGCTGCAGACCATGTCAAATTCCCACGTATTAGGGTATATGTTCTGTTTGCATACTGTAAAGTATCTGGCACAGGGTACATTTCAGATGCATTGACGATATGTCTGGATGTGTCTGTTGGAAACAAAGAGGGTTGTTAAAGATTTTATTTTTTAAAACAGACAGTTCAAAGACAGTTGAAAACCAGCTTCATTTATTCCACACAGTAAGTTTACTCCCATTTTTCCCCACAATTGTGCCTCGTGATAAATACGTCAAACATAGCTGTGGTTTGCAAAAGCCGCATAAGAGCGGGCCAAAGCTTGCTGGTTCGTCTTATTTACTCTGTTGAGCCTCTTGTGGAGAACAGCAGGAACTACTGCCTCCGTTGACAAAGACCTTAACTACAAGGTAGCAGACAAAGCTGCATCACATAAGACCACCACTGTGTCCATACAGTCCATTTTGATGTGTGCTGCTGAGCACGTTGCCATGCCAGTACAGGAAAAATACATGAGAAGAAAAGCCAGCCTACACCTGATTGGCCAATTGGCTGTTCACAGAAATGCATCTTCCAAAGTCTCGTCTGATCTGAGACTGCAAATCCAACAACAGAATATTTTCAACAGAACTATCTCCAGCTTTGCCTTTTGTAATTTCATGCTGTTACTTTGCTTGCGAGGACAGACAATGTGAAATGTAATCTCTACATCTGAGATATGCAACTGAAAGCTCAAAGTTAAGAATCAAATTTAACTGCAAAAGATTTTTTTGAGAACTTACTTCTACATCACAGCTATTGATTTATTTAACTGTGTAAAGCTTGTCTGCTGAAATAGCAAGTGAAATTGCCTATAAAGATCTTTTTAGCTCCTGGTTTTATAGACACCTATAATAAGCTACTTCTAGGTAAAAATAAACTGAACTCAACAACAGAACAAATGAGAACAGAAGGAAACCAGACCAAATGCTTACCCTGCCTTTTTTGGCAGACAAACCCATAATTTTTCTCACAGTTTTCTAAGTACCATTTTCCCGTAAAATAAAAATTAGGGTTATTTGATACCAGTGTACAAAGTGGAACTTGTTCTTCGACGTAGACACTGTTATAACGCGGTCTCTGCAATCAACATAGAACCTTACATTAATTGTTAAAGATACCATGTAAAGCAAGGGCATACTTATTACATTAAACGGAGAATAATAGTTAGCTGAAAGGCACTGTTACAAGTTGTTAGGTAGAACAATGAACGTTCCCATAAATACCACTTGGAATAGTAGCCTCATAGAAAAAATGTCAAAAACGTGCAATGAAGAAACTAAAACGTTAACTAAAATACTGACAAATATACCAAGTCAAATATAGTATACTAAAATTTGACTAAAATGTGAAATTCATAATATTACTTTGCTCAAATCTAGTATAGGATGTCAACCATATAGCTTAAACTGTGGTGCTTGAAGAGAATTTCAGAAGATGTGACTATAGCTATGTACTGCATAAATAATTGTCTGGATAGTGTCTTTCTGGCAACTACTAACTATACCCATAAGGTTGTGTCCACAGTTGTTTGAAGTTGCAAAAATTAAGAGAAGCTGGTATAGTAAGTTAGGCCTTGTCTTTATGGCAAGCATGAATATTGTGGATAAAACAATTTCTCAGTGTCCTTAAAGCCCCCAGAAATACTTACGTGCACTGCTTCAATTGGAGACCAGTTGGAATACCTTGGAGGATTTTCATTCATCCATTTTTCATAATCATCACCCTGGAAAGCTATCCAAACACTAGTTTTGCGACCAAATAGATTCATTGTTATGAAAGCTGGAAAATGAAACAAGATTGAAGTATCAAGCATATTTAATTGGTAGCCAGTTAGGGATGAAGCTGAAGTCTCTTCCAACACATTAAAGTGCTGAAAAATGAATTGCCAACCAGTGGCTTTATCTACTTACAAGAAAGTAAGAACGTGAAAAGCATTTCATGATCATCCAGCTATAAATTCAGTAAAAATGATTAACTTCAGTTGGGTTAGTATCTAGCCCAGTAGAGAAGTCTTCAAGAAATTGCAACAGTAGCTTGAACAACTTAAGAATTACCGATTTGTTTATAGCATTGCATCCCTGAGTGGAATTGCATGATTTTTTTTTTCTAAATCTGTATCTATTATTAAACATTTCTTCAAGGATGAAATTTTATTTGAAAATATTTTTGGCATTCTACCTTGTTCCAGTTCATCTTCAAGGGAAGCGAGGGACCCATCGTACCTACTGCAGAATGTCTGTGCAGAGTACCAGCTCCTCAGGTGCTCTGGATCCTTTGGAATTTGTATCAAAAAACACTGTTTCAAAAGAAAAAAAAAAAAAAAAAATAGGAGGCTTATTTTGTTTTTCCTTCCACTTAAAAGCTATACCAATTAATAAGAATGTTGGGTCCACAGCCTTAAGCAATGCCCCTTGGTTTAAGTTTATCCTTGTAGTGACTGCATTTTAATGCTGGGATAAACCTGCTCACTTCAGGGAACGTTTCCATGAGGGAACGTACATATTTAAGAGAAGTCTGGTGGAATAGTTGCCTTTCAACCTTCAATCACAAATAGACTTCGGTGTTATTAATCAAAGATAATTACACATTTGAAACCATATCTTTAGGCAGCAATTAGGGAACTGCTGAGTACACTAAATGGTTAGAGTTCTGTTTTTAGGCCAAGCAAGACTTAAAACTGTAGAAGTATCAAAGGAGAGAGACAGCACAGAATAAGCACGTTGATGCATTTGCTATCCAAAAGCCTAGGTAGCTTTTGCATAAATGAGCATGCATTTCCTGGAACTAAAGTAAAACATTGACAGCTTAAGGCAACTTCTCTGTGCAAAGCTAATGAACTTTTCTATCACTTCTCTATCACATTCATGTTTATGAATATCACTATTCATAAAAACGAGTTCCCTGCTTTCAGAAAGGAAGAAAACCTTCAAATACCAAATATCAAGTCCAAATTTTCTGTAACAATGGAATTCATTTTGAATAATTAAGCAGCAGGAAAAAGTGTTTTACTTTAAATCCAAAGTGCAGCCAGCCCTTGGGACACATTCCTTGTGGGTTCTGGTCTTTTGGAACCTCTTTCTCAATTTTCCAAGCATTTTTACGTTTACAAATACAGGGAAGAGAAACAGTACAGTTTTCATCATCCCAGAGTCCTATGTTAAAAAAAAAAAAAAAAAACACATTTAAATATTTACCTGAGAACAGAAAAGGACTTTTTCTTATCTGCTCAATTATTGTGAAAAGTATCCTCTTTATTGGTTGAGTAAGCCATGATTCTACAGCAAATATATTTGGACATAACACATTTCTGTGCATTTGATGGCCCACAAGTCTCATATTTTTATTGACAGTTTGGTTTCATTAATCTAAAAACATTCCTCCACAACGAGTCACATAATACATTGCCTATCAACACATATTAAAAAAATTAGTTGAAAAGAAAACGTACTGGAATTATACATTCCAGATAAAGTGGTTTGACCCTTTTTCATTGAAAATTGCTGGCAAGACCACCAGGTACTGACATCAAATGCTGTCCTGCTGAGAAGGAAAACACATAATTCAGCAGAACAGAAAGCACTCAAACTACTGATCAGATGCCCTCTGTTGGTGGGTGATGGGATAGGGGGAAGTATCATGCAAAACAGAGACTAAAATATCTGTAAGCCTCAAGCTTTTGAAAGTTATGAACCAAAACCCCAAGGTGATGTGTGGGTTAACAACAATAGTTTTTAGCTTTTGATGTTGGCATTACAAGAATGCAGCTTTGTATTTGTGAGGAGAAATTTTTAAAAAGTTACATATTTTTTCAAGAAACCTGACGTTCACATTATTATATGAATCACAGATCTTCAGAAAACAGAGACTGAGAAATGATTAAAAAAAAAAAAACCAAAAAACAAACAAACAAAAAAAACCCCACAGATACTGGCAGCACTATATTGACATATATTTTTAAATTGCAGTAGCAAAAGAGAAATCTTTGTGAGGGTGTAGAGGCTAGCACCATCAGGTAACAAAACATGGTACCCAAAATCCCTCCGCATATTGGCTATGAGATTAAAAATAAGATAGAAACCCAAGTATTTAAAGTTGTTCAATAATATAAAAACAGTTCTTGAACAGAGGAAAATTTGCTGCTCAGTCCATATGGCTCATTTGGTTACAAGAAAAGTGACTGTGAAAACCAGGAATAGAGTCTTAAGAAAGACTAAAGATTCAGTACCACTGGAATATTTATATTTTGACGTTAAAATACTAAACTTTTAATATACTTCTAAGTTCTACTGTCTTACTCTTTGAGCAAATTCATGATATCTTAATGTTCTTTTCTTAACCATGGAAGTAGTTAAGCAATCTGTAACTGTGTAACAGGACTGTATACTTCTTCAAAGCAATTGAAAACATATAATCTCCTTTGGCCAATAACAACCAATTCACAACTCCTGCCACAAAAAGAAATATAAAATAAACCTGTTTGTGATGAAATGAAGCCACATCTTTTCCCCGGTTTATGCAAATATCGATCTCTGCCTTCATTCCAGTTCTGGTATGTTATTAGTGATTCATCCTTCCAGCTGCACAGAAATGTTAAGAGTGTAGTTACATTTTTCCCTGTTGTGATCTAACAACACAGACCCTATTAAAAGGTGTTTTTAATCAGATACAGGGTAGAAAGTGCCCATTCTTCAACTTACTGTTACAACAAACATGTTGATAGTCACGTCTTTGGCTTAAATCTTTTGAACCCCTTTCAGAGAAACAAATGAAGGGTAACATATTCTGAGTAATATTTATATGAGAGCCAAAATTGTCTTTTGAACATCCAACTCAGTCATCAAACAGTTTTGGTCCATCAAACTGAATGGTACTTGTAAACAAGATGTGCCAAGTACAAACCAGAGCAGTTGAAGCTCTTACCGAAATTCATTGCTGATGTTTTCTGCGTGCAATCCAATCCACCAGTGAACATCACTATCCGACAGCTACAAAAAAATGTTTTGCCATATGTTTTGATAAGAGGGCAACAACAGTTAAATATTAACCAACTCCTAAAAATCAGGCCCTGCTCAGAGTCAGATGAATAGTATCTCCTTTGGTTTCTGGTGTAAAACACGTGCTAAATCCTGCCTGTCTTAGTTTGTGACTACTCCCTCCTGACTTCAGCAAGCATGTGTGCAAAACACAATATAGCCTCCATTTTCCACTGGATTACTAATGCACATTCTGTAAAATTAGAATATCTGGCCTGGCAATGACTGCAGTCTTAAGCCAGAACTAAGAAAAATAGACATTATTAAAATTATGAAGTACAAATATTTTCTTTTAGTATTGAAATGCTACTGATTTCAATGTTTCCAGAACATTTTCTATGCAATTTATATTGATTCTTACAGCTCATGTAACAGAGATGCAATTCAGAGGCAATGTTATGATCACGAAAGTCCTAGACTTCCAGTAGTAAAAGGCAATGTATTATGGATAATTCACAGAAATATTGTCATTTAAACAGTCACTTATTGCTGCTGCAGTGACATGACACTGATTTAAACCATGAACGAACTTTGCTTTCAAGAGTAGTCTCTCAACAGCCACACTTCAGTAGTCTTTTGGAAAGTCAACAAAGGGAAAAAAATTTCAAATGTGCAGGACATCATAAATGCTACCCTACCATTTAAAGGCATTCTTTTTTCCTTCAGAAAGGGTGGAATTGTAGCATACGTTGAAGCAGCCATGCAGTCCTTACAGTCAGGATTTTATCAGCTAGCAGTATACAAAGCAATACCAAATTTAGAATACATACATTTCTGATGAAGAATAGCCTAAGAAATGTTGTCTGGTGTGGTATATGCCAATTGAATTTGGCTTTCTAGTCATAGCACTCAGACTATGGATTACAATTCTTAAAGAAATAGTGAAAAATATGATTTTAAATTCTACATGAAGAAATCTCTATGAAATTTTCCTGACGGCATATACAAATTCCATCCAGACTGCTGATGATTATCCTTAGCCCTACTTCCACAGGAATCAGTTAGAAACATTTAGGGACACACCTGGCTAAACTGGGGAAGGCAGCATCTCATACTCTGAGATGAAACTTAAAGGAAGTTAACTTAGTATAAAATGCAAATAGAGTAATCTTGGCTTTCTCATCATAAAACGCTACAATATCCACTACTTCAGTTACAAAGCTGCTTTTGAAATATCTCCTGTTAGTAAATAGAACTTTAAAGAAGTATTCTGATTTGTTACCTTCTTAATTTTATTTTCAATAAAAGCTTGCTCCTCTGCAGAAGTTATTGTTGCCATTTCACTACGAAGCCAGACACAAATGAACTCATAGGTGTCCCAGTCTGTAGGATTCACGTGAAAAAGATACTCTGCTCCCTGATAGTATGACCATGGCAGTTCTAGAAGACAAGAGTCAAATCCACGCAGGTGTAAAACCTCACTGCAGTTCACATTCCTTGTAACAAACTCAGCCCACTTCCAGCTACTTGGCACAGGTCAATATCCCACAACTAGTAGCAGAACTATATTTGGGATATCAAATTATGACAACAAACGGAGAACTGAGTAAATTTCAGCTCTACATTATATCCCATGTTACTGTATTAACAGGGTTGCCTGGACTTTATAAATACAAAGGCAGTTTCAATGCAACTGAGGACATCGAATTCCTGTGCCTACTACTGACAAAATTCTTTTACCTAACATAAGCAGTATTTCAGTGTTTCTATAGAAGAGTGGCAGATTTTGTTCACCAACAAGATTTGACAGCATTACGTAATGTAAATTTTGCACCTTAAAATAGTTTAGCTATTTTATTTTTACCAATACATCGAATTACACCTCCCACTGATAATATCTCAAGATGCAGAAAAATAAAATTTCCATACCAGCTATGTACCAATCTGGATTCTTTGGTTTAACACCTGCAAAAATAAAGATATTAGATCAAGAACTGAGAAGAGATATTGCTCTGAAATTGCTTTACTGACACAGTGAGAATTTAATCAAAATCTTGAAGAATGTAGCTATTTTCATCCAGAGGCAAAAGAAAGTTAAACACGGCATAAAATAAAAATGGCCATACTTAATAAATAACATTTTTAGCAACTTTTATAAATCAGAACATAGGTTAACTTCTAGCTTGTTGCTGATCATTGCTGTCCATGCTATGGCAACTTGTCTGCACAGATCAATCATGGTACCTGGCCAAAAAAAAAAAAAAAAAACCAACAGAAGCACGTAGCTTTGCCATGATTTCACACATAAGACCACGGGCAACCTTTTAGATATTTTTTCTTGTCTCTTCTGAATTAAAGATAGAGCAGTGTAAGTTAATTAAGGTTTCACCTTTTGGTATTTTGCATATCCATTCACGCTTTTCATTGCAGTGTGCTGGAAAAACTGTTCTATTTACTTTGAATACACCACAGTTTCTTGAGTCATCTTCAACATACTTGCTCTCCAGAAATGAAGCTACAACCTGAAAATAGCATACTTGTAATCTTTCACCAATAATTCAAGATTAAGCATTTCAAAATCCTATTACGGAGAAAAAGGAAGTGTATGAACATGCATATATGATAAGAACATGAAACGTAATTTCCAGACCAGGAAACCAGTGAAACACCTAAATTATGGTGGTAAAACCCTAATAATGATAATCATGTTTTTGTAAAGCCTTATTCAATTTCCCGTCTTCTATTAGACTCCATCTTCGTAAAAAATAAAATAAAATTCATTGCATGAAATCTAACAGTTTTTTTGGACATGATTAGCAGTGGTTGTCCAAACCTTTGTTTTGGTTCAGCACTTTGCATGACTGAACTTTGCACTCGCATTCTGCAATTACTTAAATAATGATGGCAGAGCTGACATTGTTCGTAAAGACTGAAAACCAATTACAGTTTAAAAACTGATCCTTTTGCATAATCCAAAATCCACACGCTTGTTCAGAAAAGTTTTAAAATGCAGTGTGACACATCTTGGACTAATCAGAACATGCTTTGCAGGAAAGCAAAAATTCAAAAAACTTCATAATCCTACCAAATTTCTTCTGTTGTTTTGCAACTCTTCTGCACAGGTGGCTCTAAAAATAATGTAACAAGCATTTCATTTAACTGAAGAATCACAGAATGGCCAGGAGTGGAAGGGATCTCAAGGATCATGAATCTCCAACCCCTCTGCCACATGCAGGGCAATCAACCTCCCCATTTAATACTAGACCAGGCTTCCCAGGGCCCCATCCAACCTGGCCTTGAACATCTCCAGGGACGGGGCATCCACAACCTCTCTGGGCAGTCTGTTCCAGCACCTCACCACTCTCTCTGTAAAGAAATTCCCCCTGACATCCAACCTAAATCTCCCCTCCCTCAACTTAAAACCATTTCCCCTCATTCTGCAGTTACCAGCCTTTTCAAGGAGTTGATTCCTCTCCCCTCTGTAGGCTCCCTTTAGGTACTGAAAAGCTGCAATGAAGTCACCCCGCAGCCTTCTTTTCTCCAGGCTGAACAAGCCCAGCTCCCTCAGCCTGTCTTCATAAGGGAGGTGCTCCAGTCCCTGATCATCTTTATGGCCCTCCTCTGGACCCCTCTCCAACAGCTCCCTGTCTTTCTTGTACTGGGGGGTCCACACTTGGATGCAGTATTCCAGATGGGGCCTCACAAGAGCCGAGTAGAGGGGGACAATCACCTCCCTGTTCCTGCTGGCCGCCCCTCTTTTGCTGGAGCCCAGGATACCATTTGCCTTCCAAGCTGCAAGGGCACACTGCTGGCTCATATTAACTTTTTCGTCTATCAAGACCCTCATGCCCTTCTCCATAGGGCTGCTCTCAAGTATGTGAATATGAAAAAAAAAAAAAAAAA